TACATTTAAACCCGGGGAGTGAGAGTCGCGTGGCTGGAAGTAGGCCATGGTTGTACGCTCTTTCCACTGCTTGGCGCGCCGGCTCTCTCGTTAGGTATAGCTTCGTACTATAATCCCGCGTATGTGCACAGGTTGCACGAGTGGAAACGAGAGTATGCCCGTGGGCCATCGGCGCGATTCAGTGCGATACTCCGAGGACGGTTCGCGTGGAAATCCAGAGCAATTGCCAGGGACGCTGAGAATGCTCGAGTGCGGCAGTCCTTGCGATACAATTGCTTTCTGAAAGATTTTATTGGCGGAGTTTTTTCATGTGAAAACAGGCGTCAATGCACAACACGCTGGAGCATTAAATTCCTACACTGAGAAAAAAAATTTCTAATATCTGAAACATATTTTCTTGAGACAAGTAATTTTTCTTCAATTGTTTAATTCTCCTAGGCATCTCAACTTTCAAAATATTCTTGTACTCAAGTATGATTTTGTTAAATACCTTCCCGTATTTATTGTTTTAGGGGAGGGTGGGGTAAAATGGACACTTGAGACTTTTTTAAAATTATTCATAAGTCAGAAACAAACTTATCAATTGAGCTCAGTTTAGGCTCGTCACAAGGGGAAAGAATTGTTCTTTGTATTGAAAAAAAATATATTAAATTTTATCAACATTACAACCCCTCATTAACACTTTAAAAAAAGTCAAAAGTGTTCGTTTTACCCCAACGTCCCCTAAATATGGTCTACGTATTAGGGAATTGTTCTCTCAGTGCATTGATTGCCGATCGTTAACATTATTGAATGATGTTAATATTGTGAATCCCAATTAATGACACCTAGATGAGTGGTTTATTTGAGTTAAATGAATTTTATTTGGATAAAAAAATGGGTTTATTTGAGTAGCTCGTGATGGCGCCTCTATTCAAACTCAAATTTGATTTTTATTCGCGTGGTTAAGCACATCAAATAAATCGTTTTGCAAATATGAATAAATGTTTTTTTTGTTCGAATAAAGACCACGCGAAAAAAAAAATTATAGAAAAACGTAGCGAATTCAGTAGATAATTTTTTCCATTCAAATTTCAGCCGATAGAATTGCACTATTGAACTGATAATTTTCGATAATTCCACTGGTAATTTTTCATGTTAATATATATTTGAAAAACAAAAGAGCTCTCGTGGTAATACATATACAAATTTTATTGAATTTCTATTGACCTTCTGTTTTTTTCGCGAGTTTCTTTAATGAAAAATTTTCCATAGAAACTATTTTATTTATAATTTATTAATGTAAAAGGCCGAGTAGATCATACTTGGCATTAATAAATAAATAAAGAAATATTTCTAATTTATTATAGTATATTAAAATGTATTACATATTTTACAAATGAGAATCAGAATATATGTGCATTAAAACACACGTTTATTTGCAATAAAATTACGTCAGCGGAACGACATCAGCAGTTTTCACGGGGCTCATTCGCACGGTGTTAGCATAACACAATGCCGATATGAGGCAGTGGCCGAGACGTCAGATAATTCGTGTTGATCTGATACCTTCTGAGTCAGAATGACCTTAATGACTCTAACTTCGCAGAAATTAATTAAGAAAAAGAGTACACTGAGAGAAAAAATTAGTTCAGCCGAAAAATTATGCCTTCCGGGTAAATACCTGGAACAAATGATAATTTCAATTGGCAAAACTAAATAATTTCGAGGGTGCAATTTTTTTTTTAAACGGAACTTACGTATTTCGTTAAAAATGAGTGAAAATAAATAAATAATATTTCACAATTGCGGATGCACACACTATTAGAAAAAAATGAAATTTCATGGACATTTAACACTGAATGCGAATTAGGGGGAAAAAATCATGAAATTTAAAGTTTCACTGAAATTTAGTAAAATTCCACAAGTTTAAGGAGTAAATTACATAGAATTTTCAGTGAAATCTGAAATTTCATATTTTTTCCCCCTAAATCACGTTCAGTGTCACTGTCCTGAAAATTCCAGAATATATTTACCGTAATTTTCCGGTTTTCTATTTATTTTCATGGAGAAATGGAACAGAAATTGAAAGTTCTCTTTGAATTTTCCACGAAATTCTGAATTTCCAATGACGAAATTGCTCGCAACTTCAGTGGTAATTAACTTCGATAAAAATGTCCGAAAAGTGCAAATGTTTATCTCCCCGCAGTCGCTGAAAATCCCTCACTTTTTACAAAACTGAAACCTCAAATTTTTCTTCCGATTGCACCACAGAGATTGTCCCCGTCCGCGATTACTTTTTACCTCTTTCGTTCCCTCCCTCTGCAATTAAAAAGGAAGAAGGAAATGATAGAACTGGAAATGTTGAAAACCCGTTTATTCGTTTTTCGGATGGCCCTCTGATTCACCCGGAATCCGATGAATCCGGAGGAGTCTGACGAGTCCGCTGCGGCTCCCCGCCGATTCCTGCGGTTACGTAATGCCGGCATATGCTGACCTGGAGAGGTATCCGAGGTTTTTTTTCACCACATTTATCTACAGCGGTTTTGATTCACTTCTGTCCATAATGACACAATCGGTACCTTCCTATGGCAGAACATGTGTGTGTGTAGACACCGGTGGACATATCACGCGTGCGCTACACCGAGTGAAAGTCACCGGGGAGGTAATCCAAGCGCGATTTCACTCTTGATCACTGCGAGTGATCATCGGAATAAATTATATTTTTAGTATGCGTCGTTCGCTTGAATTTCCAAGCAGTTTCGATTTAATGGCTTCAATTTGACGCTCGTTATTTATAAATCGATTCTGGTTGAACTGATTTCATAATTTACGGTGAATCCTCGCGGTGGGATCACGACTTTAATTATGATGTGATTAATGATTTAATTTTTTGTGGGGACGAAAGGATTTGATCTTCAGAAAAATTGAACTTGTGAAAAATTTTAGATACAACTGTTTCGGATTTTCTGCCATTTCTGCTTGCAACGTCAAATAATTTTACTGAAATCCACCATCATGTCTCCCATTCAACGTATTTTTGGCATTAATATTTGGTAATTTTGATATCCTGAATTTTAGTGATTTTTTGGATAAATGTTAGGGGAAAATTCCAACTGTTTTAGGTAGAAATAAGATGGAGATTTCATAACTTGCATGAGATTTGAGTTAATTGAATATTAGTTATAATATATGTTCACTTGAACTCTTCAGAATTTTTGTGAAAGATTGAATGAAAATTTACGGTTTCCATGGATTTTCTCAACAAATCAGGATTTCCTAATGACGAGACTTCATAAAATTTAATAATTTGTTACTGATAAAAAGCCATTTGTTCTTTAATTAAATTCAAATTCAAGGGGGGTTGTTGCTTGAATTAAAAAAAATTCCTAACAGTCGAGCGAAGAAATATGCCCCAATGACAGCCCTTCAATACTTCTCCACTACTAGTTCAGTAGTAAAAATCGAGGATCAAACTCACACATTTTGACTGCTCTCTTTTTTCTGTGATAATTTTCTGCACATTTATTCACTCTTCATGTCCTCAAAATGCTCTTCAAAAATAACGGTCTTCTACAGAGAAAAATAGTACAAAGGAGGTAAAGCGGTAAAACGCGGAGAAAAAAGCTTTAGTTCAAGGACCTGTGCCATTGCAAAATTTAACGAGTGAGAAATTCTAAACTCAAATTACTTACTTCACAAATTTGCAGTGTTATATTTTTAATTCTTAGAAATTGTGCCCCTAAATTGCAGTGATAAAATCCCTAAAATGTCGAATTCCTTAAAATTAGGGAAGGATTTCTAAAAATGAAGGATCAATTCCAAAAAATACGGACAATTGAAACTTTTGTCTGTGAAGCGACTTTCCGAGGAGCCTCTTCATTCAAGAGAGCCATCGATTTTCACCCAGAGTCCTCTTATTTCTCTCCACAAAGAAGATCGTCAGAAAAATCCTCCCACCCCTCCCCCCAAGATTAATGATCCTAAATTATTCCCTCATATCACCCCACATTGTTTGAAAAAAATTCAAATTTCATGGATATTAGGGGGAAAAATCGTGAAATTTCGGATTTCACTGAGAATTCAGTGGAATTCCAACTTTTTGAGCGGCAGAAAGACGAGAATTCCCCAACTTACTCAAAATTTAAATCAAAATATGTAGAGTATTCAAAAAATTACTCAGAATTTTAAAGTTTTTGGAAATTCAAGGTTATATTTACCGGAAATTCCCTGATTTCTATCAATTTTCATGGAAAGGTCAAGTTAAAATTTACAACTGGCACTGATTTTCCCCCAAAATTTTGACTTTTCAATGACAAAAATCCTCAAAATTTCAGTGGAGTCGTAAAGTTGTAAGAATTTATATGAACCCTACCGGAAAGTTCAGCCAACAATTTGGAACCTTGAACTTCCCTCTTCCCTCCCTCACTTTCAATTTTCTAAAACAATCCAAAAATTCAAAAAAATTGATACACAAATGGAATTTCGATTCCATTTTAAGGAACGGAATTTTGATTAATGTCGACTGACGGAGCTCATCAAAGCGCACATGAAAACAAAGATTAAATTCCATCGCTCGATTCCCGAACAATGAAAGCGCAACTTCGACACAAACAACTTCGTCACATAATGAGTCGATATAAATATAGCGCAAAAAATCAAAACCTTGATTTTAATTCCGTCAAGCTAAATCAAATTTCAAAATTGCGTCGGACCGACCTCGCTGACCCCGCTCCCACATCAATCGTTAATTTATACGGAGAGAAATATTCAATAAAAATTACGTATCTTCTGTGGTTGTCGTATTATAAATTTTGCGGAACTGTCACGGAATTTTTCCAGAGCGTTCGGTAATTGTTATCCGAATCTCTTGTGAAAAATTACGATACCGTCACTCAAATTTTGTGCGTCGATTCCATAATCGGTGAGCGAATTGTGAGTTCCGTAATTTTTACTGAACATTTCTCCCCGTGTAACATTCTCTCCCGCAAAGCTTCCCCATTCTCACCCAAAAAACATACCCAATTCAGGCGTAGCAAGAAGCAGTGTGAGCCCCAGCAACCCGACGAATCCCATTGTCCTCTCCATAATACTCAGCGGTGTCCGCACGACTCCGAATCCTTTCCCGCGCCGTGTCCCCGATGCCCTCCGTCACTCCTGGCACACACACCTACAGCCCACAGAGGAGAGGAAAAAAAAATCTGTACACAGAAAAACACACGCGCGTCCACTCACACGCACGTACCCAAAGTAAACACAAAACACACACTTGATTTTATATTTTACTCTTCTCCTCTCCCCCTCGCCCCTCCGCGCCCGATGGAATGTTTTCCTCGTCGTAGATTAGGTGAATTCCACGGGCCCCGATGAAGTCACAGAGACGATCATCAAAACAGCCGCGGACGCACGCACTCGCGCGTGCCTCCTATGTTATTTATTCAATCTCGTTAAGTTTTAATGAGCCGTGAGATCGGTGTGCGCTCTGGGACGAGGACGACGAGACGCAGGAGACACCATCCACACGCGAATGATCTGGAAATTACAAAAATAGGACGAGCTGTGCAGATTGTTTCGGCAATAGTGGATTATTCTCGGGGGGAGCTTTTATCGCGGAGTCTAATGGAGCTGGAGGGAAATGGAATGGCTTGAATGGCCGCACTGGACTGAGTTCGGGTGGGCCAGCGGACTGGCTTCATGCCGAGAGTCGCCCGAGGTCGGGAGAAAGGAGATCTTTCGAGAGGAGGTGCCTACGATTGCAGTCGGAACGACCGGAATAATTACGAAAATTTTCACGGGAGTAACACTGGGGTGACTGGACACAACGACGAGGGGGGGAAGGGGACACTTGAGTTAACTGGAATTCTCATGACTCCGCGAATGGCTGAGGGACTTTGATGGTCGTGGTTTTCGGCGGGGAAACACCTTGTCATCAACACTTAGAAATTTCTTGAAATTTCAGTCACAATGTCATCTGAATTTTTAATGCTGCGAGTTTGAATTCAATTTCAAATGAAAACGTTCACTAAATTTCTCCTTCATCTTGAAAATTCACGAAAATTGGGTTTTTCATGTTAAAGAATCATTGATTTTTCAATGAAAGCTTGATTTTTCAAACTCATCGTGAAAATTGAACATCACATACAATTGAATTTTCAGTAGTTCGAAAATTCGGAGAAGTTATTGCCTGAATTTGCAAAATTTTCAAGGTTTTTCGGTGCCGTATGGACCTGAAAATCGAGAATTACTTGAATATTCAAGAAATTAACTGATTCGTCAATGAAGAATTTGACAGAAATTTCATGTAACTTTGCCATTGTTAAATATTTCAAGCTTTTCCACTTGAAATTTCAAGAGTAATTTTCTAACAGTGAAGTTAGCATTCGAGGAAATAGGGGAACACAGGGTTAATAAGTAAAAAATTAACACTTTGTTTTCTTAATGACGAATGTTTAATTGTTAAAATTGCGGTGGATTTTCGGATGCGGAATGTGGTCTTCTCTGCGTGTAAGAGAATGGGATAGAAAAGCCCCCATTTTATGCGATCGGAACTGCTTCAACGAGGATTGTAAAAACTATTTTATTAGGTCTCTCGTAAAACGATCTTTATCACTGAATGGGAAATTCGAAAAAATCGTGATCTTTCGCGTGAAGCGACTTTTATTTTGCGAAGTGTAGAATTAGAAAAATTTTGACGTTCCATAGGGAACGATTTTAATGTGAAGGTTGAAAAAATGGAGTCGGTTGTTATTGGGAAATTTTAATCGCTAATTATGAAATAGAGAAATAATGAGATTTCTGACGTTTTGCATAAAACAGCTTTTATTGGACAAAATGTAGAATGAAAAAAAAATTGAGGTTTCATATGAAAATATTTGTATCACCGACTACCAAATTAAAAAAAAAATAGCGATAAATAAAAAAATTTGGTTCAGTTAAAAAATGAAAACCGTAAAAAGCACCCATTCTACCCCAGTAAATAGCCACCACCGAAAGATATGAAACAATTATATTTGATTAAAATTCGCACGAATCGTTTGTTATCACTAAAATTTCAACCAACAAATCACTAAAAATGTGGAATTAAAAAAAAATTTGACGTTTCACATAAAACTAGTTTCATCACTAGAAAAAATTTTGGCGTTTCCTATGGAACGATTTGAATATCAAGGTTAAACAAATGCTGACGGTTCCAATGGGAAAATTTTAATCACTAATTATAAAATAGAGAAAAAAACTATTTCATCGCTGACAAAAAAATAAAAAAAATATGTGAAATATAAAATTATCAGAATTGAAAAAAAGCAGATTAAGAAATTCTGAAAAAACACACCTTATATCCCACCGTGAAAATAAATTCACACGGCGTCGGTATCGTATATTGGGGGGAGGTGGGAGCCGCGTAACGCACGCGGGTGCGTCGCGCGCGTTTCCGTACTGAGGACTGAGGGCGAAGATAACGGTCTAGGGTAACGGGATATGTATTGGCACAGTGTCAATTCCCCTCCGCCACCCCCGCAGGTACAGTGCGCATATAAACCAAAATGAAAGCTCCACCCAGTGGGAGGAGTAGGTGGATTGAGCTTGCGCGGAGAAAATCAACGGGCGCACCAACCCCTCACCGCCTGCCCCTGTGCATTTTGTCATTCCTCTCTTCTTCCTTTTGCCTCGCTATTTTACGATGATATTGTCATATACGTTGTGTGTTCATGTATTTTTTTTAAACCTTTCTTTTTGAAAGTTTCTCGGTTTTTCCTGCACTAGGCGCACCGCGCGACTCCTGGTATGCCGGCTGGATCGCTGTTTTTGCCTTTGTGATGATTCTTTCCTCAATTCTCGTCATTTACTCGCGATGTTTTTTTTGTATTGGGGAGGGGGGGGGCGGCGCTTGCTGCGTTTTTGCAGAACTTAATTATAGGAATATTGTGGCTCAGTCTATGTTTAATTGCGAGGCAAAATATTTTATGGAAAAATTTAAAATAATATATTTTAATGTTAACAATAATATTCGGGTTTTGTCGATAATGTTATGCCAATTTTTTGAAGGGGAGGGCTGCCTTCATTTTTTGACGCATGAATGGGAAAAATTGGAGATATTGAAATATTTGAAGTAGGGAGAAAATTAATGTTTAACGTGATTTTTTAAAATAAAATTTAAATATTTATATTTTTGGTTATGTTCGGGAAAGACGCGTGCTTTCAGCATTTTTACGGAATTTAATTGTAGGAATGTTGTGATTTATTTTTGTGTTAATTGTGGGGTGAAATTTTGTCTTATCGAAAAAATCAAAATAACATTTTTTATTTTTGTGTAAAAAAATATTTCATGGAAAAATGGGAAAAATTGGAGATATTGAAATATTTGAAAAATGAAGATAATTAATGTTTAACTTGATTTTTTAAAATAAAATTTTATGTATTTGCATTTTTTGTTATATTGGGAAAGGATGGGCGCGTTCAGCATTTTTACAGAATTTAATTGTAGGAGTATTGTAGATTATGTTGTGTGATCGTGGAACGAAATATCTTATCAAAAAATTCAAAATAATATATCTGTTATTTTTATGTAAAAAAAAATCACGAAAAATTGTGAAAGTAATGCTATCCAATGTGATCCCAGTTTTTTGCCTTGATTTGTTGACACACGAATGGGGCAAATATTAGATTTTGAAACATTGTAAAATTTTAAAAATTATGTTTAACTAGATTTTTCTAATGCAATTGAAATATTTTATTTTCGCAGAATTCAAAATACTATTTTTCTGTTTTACTATAAAAAAATTTACGAAAAAATTATAAAAATCACGTTAAAAACAATATGAAAATTTGTTCCTATCACATAAGATTAATTTTCGGAACGGATTGCCTTCATATCTCAAACAGTCAATGGTGCCAAAAATATCCAAATAAATATTCAGAAAAATGCGAAAATTAATGTTTAACTTAATTTTTTTTACTGAGAAATCCCGTCTCGCAATTCGATAAATAAATCTCACGAGTCACTCGTGCGGACAAAAATATAGGGGGGGAACAATGTACAGGGGGAGAAAATCAACGCGCACGAGGGGGAGGGGGTAAAGACGTTTGGAGAGAAAAGGAAAACGTCAGGGGGAGAAAAAGGTAATGCGGAAAAACTCGACCGTGCGTTTCGAGGCGGGATGGCCAACGGTGAATTTGAAATAAGCTTCTCGTTTTCCCTACTTCAGTGCTCTTTCCTCTCCCCCTCCCCTCCCCCCTCCCCCATCTCACCCAACCCCGTTCTACTATTTTCACACCATTCTCGGATTGAGTTTTTCACAGCTCTCTTCTCGCATTCCGGGCTGGCTGTACCCGGGGGACTTTTTACTCTTTTTTTTTTTTGAGTAAATGACTACTCAATTACTTTTTATTTGCTTTCCTCTAGCCTGGGAAAATGGGCTAATTATATGTGAATAAAACGCGAGGGGAGACACGTCGAGAGACTAGTTCTAATTTAACCCTAGATTCGTCGTCTCATGAGGGAAACGCCGCATGTTTTTTTTTCTTCAGGGGTATCCCAAAACAATACCACTGAAAAGTGAGTCAGCATGGGTTTCCGGAAAAATTCTAAATGACTTAATTTACTGAATTCTCATAATTTATTGAGATTTTCTGTCCTCATATGTTGAGGACATGATGGAGGCAACAATAAATGTTCGACTCAAATGGAAAATTATTTGTCAGTTAATTGCTCGAATCGAAAACAAAAGTATTTTACAAAATTTCCATTTTTTAGAAATTTTACAGAAAACGGTATAAAATTTTATAATAATGCACCTGTGGGACGTAATTAGTTTTTTTGGGAATTTCTTATGCGATTAAAACAGTGATTGCACTGAGAAAAAAATTACTTTTGCCGAGGAATCACTTTCTCTCGTGTCAGTAGAATAATGGCTGTCGATAGTATCATACGGCGTCTGGTTAATCCCGCAATCCAGAGAAGAAAATTTACGTACTCATCTGAGTCTGGACCATCCGGTTGCCTCCAGTCATCAACGTGTGATCCAGCAGAGTCCTAACCCACGCAGTTTTCGACTTCCTCAGTCCTGGGAGATGCAATAAATTCGTGATAAAAGTGATGATGTTGACAGTGCGAAGGCTCAAAGCAGAGGAAGTAGACCGCGCGGGGGTTCTCCGCTGTCAAAATATTTTGATTTGCGTATTCTAATTTATTTCTGACCACCGGAGTCGAATGTCAATTTACTTCAGAGCGCGAATATTGAAGGAATTAGTTCCTACAATCGAAATCATCCCATAATTCAACATAATTGTAATATTGGGGGAATGCGCTTCTGACAAAATCCATTCGTCCCCCGAGAAAATCATTCCTCGGCAAAAGTAAAGTTTTTTTTCCAAGTGTGTTGCCTGCATCGACAACATATGGGGATAGGAAAACTCGATAACTTATGAGAGTGGAATAAATTAAGTCCTTCAGAATTTTTCGGGAAGGACAACTTCTGGGTGTCGTCTTGGCCCCACAAGACTCTTCGGGTATACTTTATTTGTCATTGACTGTTTGGGTCCTCTCGCGAGAGCCAATTCCATGAATCGCTCGTATTCATACCTCAGTGCAGCTGAAAAATTCCCAAAATATTTCACTCCTCAAGGGTATTCCTCCGCTAATGGTCCCTCAACCCTCATTTTCTGGGACAGTTTCCCGTCATTAATCTCTCAATACTGATTTCATCATGTTGACCTTGCATAAATCAGGCAAAATATTTTGAATAAGTTAATGCGGTCAATTGTCTAGGATATGCTGAGAGTCCGTCCCAGCACCCCGGGGGGCCTTGTCGCACGTGGATCCCCTTGAGGCCCAAAGTGGACCTTCTGCTTCGCACGGGAAATTCCCCAAATCCACGACGCGGGCCAATCCCAGCGCTTCTAGCCTGAAGACTTTTCCTGCCCTCCGAATTTCCAGCCAATTGACACTCTCCCAAAAAGCCATCCCCTTCCACCGAGCAAGAACCAATCACTGAGATCCCACGCACGTAAAATCAATACGAATAAAAATTAGGGGAGGATGGGGCAAAACGGCCCCCCTTCAATCGTCAATATTTTCCGATTCAATAATCCGATTGGGATGAGTTAGAGCTCGTTTTGAAGAATGAAAAATTATCTTCAAAATGAAGTTGAAACTGGGAATTTTCACAATGTCATTCACAAGTTATTGACAATTGAAGGGGGGCCGTTTTGCCCCACCCTCCCCTACCTAGAAAATCGTAGCGAAATGTAATTATGCGGAGAGAAATATTCAGGAAAAATTACGGAACAATTCACGTAATCCGCAATGGGGAATCGTTTTCCGGAAATTTTTATAGGAATGGAAGAGGAGAAATCTGAAACCTTCAGATAACTTTCAGATTCATCACCGAACGAAGTACACGGAGAGAAATATTCAGTAAAAATTACGGAACTCACAATTCACTCACCGATTACGGAATCGACTCAGAAAATTTAAGTGACGGTATCGTAATTTTTCACAGGAGATTCAGATAATAATTACGGAACGCTCCGAAAAAATTCCGTGACAGTTCCGTAAAATTTCTTATACCCACATTTCGCTCCGGAATTACGGAAAAGGTACGTAATTTTTATTGAATATTTCTCTCCGTGTACGAAATTGTCACGTAATTTTTCCCGAAGAAGTAAAATCTTACAGAAACTTGCCGACTTATTGTGCCTCCATGATCCAAATTCTTGAACGTCCAAAAATTTTTATGAAGCTGGTGAGTTATTTCTACGTTCCGTTCCGTAAAATTTCTCAATCGTTGGGGAAAAATTACGGTACGACTTATTGTCCCCACAGCGGTGAGTCATCAGACGGGTGGTTAATTTTTACGGAACAAATCGTAGAATTTACGAATTTCAATTCCGACTTACACTTTTTATTGAATTTTACTTCGCTCGCGGATTACGTTTCAAAACGTAATTTTAAAGTTTTTTCCTGGTAATTTTTATTGAATTTTTCTCTCCGTGTAAATGAAAAAATGGTTTTTAATAGACATCTTACGATTCCCTCGCTGAAAAAACACATACAGATGCAAAAATCATTCTCCTGAACAGTAAAATTTGCCGGGTAAATTTAACAGTATTTCCTCCGTCTGTAAAAATTTGTCGCCATGCAAGCTAAAAAAAACAAAGATCTAATAAAATTCTTGAAAATGTATTTACGTCCAAGAAACCGATAACAATCAAAGCGCCACTATATCCCCGCACATTGGTCACGGAAATTATGAAATGTACGGTCACATGGATCGCGTGCAGTCACACTATAACAGCGAGCGATGACTCCAATGTCCGGGAACAGATAAAAAAAACTAGACCGAGTGGTAAAGCGACATCGCTTTGTCCCAAAAGTTTAATATCCGCTGACGATCGGTTGAACGGAGGG